CAGAAAGGATGAATATAGAAAAGGAAGAAGCAGAAAGAAGAGATGAGGAGGAGCAGGAGCAGTTTGGATGATGAACCTGGAAAAAGCAGCGTAAATTAAAAATTCAAAATGAAACATCAGACATAAATTCCAACATATTTTCACAATTGATACAAAAAGTTAAAACTACCAGGTAAAGACAAAGATTATCAGATGAGATAAAAAATTATTCATATGCTATTTATAATAGATATTCCTAAAATATAAGGTATGAAAATGATTAGTTGGGAAAAATGTGAAAAGCTGCACACATCAAGGTGGATAAATCTGTGAAACAATATTGAGAGGAAATACAACTCTAAGAATAATGCATGGAAGATGATCCATTAACATACACTTCAAAAACATATAAAACCAAACAGTAGGTTAATTAGGAATACGTATATGCTAAAACTATAACTGAAAGGAACGATAAACCCAAAACTCAAGATAGTGGTTACCATAGAATAGTGTAGGGAAGGGGTATTTAGGAATGAATGACGGTATAGGATTAAGAAGGGATGAAAGGAAGCTTCAAAGCTATAGGCAATATTATGTCTCAGCCTCATTAATAGGCAAGGAGATGCATGTTTTACTGTTATGATAAATTGTCTTTTGGAAATGTTTAATATTTTATTTGAAAATTTAAAGTAAGTCAAAGTATTAGCAACTTCGAATTTCTGATCTTGAAAGACTTCCTCAGATCATGTTGATAAAAATGAGTACAATGATCTCACTGCTTGTCACAAGTTTTTCTGTTTCTGTCTTTACACATGAACTAGATCAACTCCAAAGTCAAGATCTTCCACCTGCTTTGTGTTTTTAAATTCCAGAAATGAAGAAAAAATAGATTCTAAAAATGACGTTATTAAATGGAATAATGACATTCAAAGACCATTTATTTGTTTTCATGTAAGCACACACATTTCTGCAAAATTTTCCAAAATGATTTTCTCAAAATTATAGTTATCAACTTAAGAATCTCTTTAGAAATCTAACAAAAATAGAACTTTATGATAAAATTATTCTTGTTAATTTGAAAATGAAAATGTTAACTATGATTAATGGAAAATAATGCCTAAAATCTCAAAACACAAAAACCTGATAAGCCTAGATTTTGAGACAAAGAATCTTGCCCTTGACAGGCACGTCAAATTGAGAAAATAAAGACACTTTCACTATATGCATAGATGAGTATGATCTATAATGTTGCTGTCTACCTTTTTATGTTTCTAACCAAATGTATTCCATAATTCAAACATAATTATTGACTATGTCAAGATCCACTAAAAGTAATATTTGATAATTTGAAGAAATTGGTCTTTTCCCTGGTGTCCAGAACTAGCTCAAAACTGTCACCAAGAATACTAGATAATCAATAAACAACAAATAAAAGATGTTTGTGATCTCTACATCAAATCTTCATAAAGCAAGACAAATAATCTAGTATTTAGCATACTGGTTTTCACATAATTCATAGAGAGTAAAAGGCTGACATGGCTCACAATTGCTTAGCAGTTTCAGAAGTTGAAGAGTGGCTCTAAAAATATTACATATCCAGAGACGAGAGGGGAGAGGTAATTGGGAGTACGGAGGAGTCTACTTTTTCCTTGATTTTTTTTTTTTTTTTTTTTTTTTTTGAGATAGAGTCTCACTCTATTGCCCAGGCTGGAGTGCAGTGGCATGATCTCAGGTCACTGCAACTTCTGCCTCCCAGGTTCAAGGGATTCCTGTGCTTCAGCCTCCCAAGTGGCACGGAGTACAGGCATGCACCAACAAGTCCAGATAATTTTTGTATTTTTAGTAGAGACGGGGTTTTGCCATGTTGACCAGACTGGTCTCAAACTCCTGGCTTCAAGTGATCTGCCCGTCTCAGCCTCCCAAAGTGCCAGGACTACAGGCATGAGCCACCGTACTCGGCCTTCCTTCATTTTTTATTTAAATAAATCCTGAACCTACACCAGCACCGGAAAACCATCAATCAATTCAATTTTCTTTTTTGTTCTATTCAGACATTTTTAAAACTTTAATTTACTTAATGATATGACAGGTCTAACAATGATCTCAAAACTTGACAAAAATTAGAAATCCTTTTTCGTCACATACTGTATAAAAATTAAAAACTGATTTAAAGAGCAGGCACATCATAACTAACAGGAAAAGTCCAAAAATTTGATCACAGGCATAAGTTCCCAGTTTTACATGTCCACCTAAGTCATTTATCTAATAGGAACACTGGACAAAGAAATATTCAAAAAGTATCATCTTGGGCCAGGCACAGTGGCTCATATCTATAATCCCAGTAGTTTGGCACGCTGAGGCACGTGGATCCTTAGAGGTCAGGAGTTCAAGACCAGCCTGGCCAACATGCTGAGGCCTGCCACTACTCAAAACACAAAAATTAGCCAGGCATGCACGTGTAATCCCATCTACCAGGGAGGCTGAGGCAGGAGAATCACTTGAACCCAGGAGATGGAGGCCGCAGTGATCCGAGATTGCACCACTGCCCTCCAGCCTGGGCAACAGAGTGAGACTCCATCTCCAAAAAAAAAAAAAAAAGGATCTTCTCAATTTTCTCTCTAAAAATAAAGTGGCATGATTTCAGAAAAAATTCTCCAATGATAATATTTTCTATTCTTTTCAATTAAAAAAAAAAAGTACTTCATGGATAACATCATGGATTCCTAATAACATCTTCTAGAATTGTGAATCCTTACAGAAACAATTCCACCAGTTTCTAGTTTTTCTTCTTCAAATAAGGTTCAAATGAACCAGATATAGCATAATTTCCCAGTGTTTTTAGGTAAAATCACAATAATAATCCATTGTAAGATGCATGAATTCATATATACCTTCTATTTTGTTTTCCTTTGTTAGCACAGACATCTACTTTTGAGTAGATAAAGAAGAGGAGAATAATAATGGTAGTAAATAAAGGGTCTACTTCTCATTATATTAAAAAACTATGAATATTTCCTGTGCCCACTGGCAGACAGATAAATTGAGAAATGAGTGTGAATTGTCTCCCCAGTCAACCCCCAAATACCCTCTTCCTATGTTTAAATTCCACAGAAATATGGTGTGAATCTACTTTGTTCCCTCAAGCCCTACACCTGCACATACTACTGGAAAACAGCAGGTGCTCAATAATTTTTTTTTCCACTCTCGTCACCCAAGCCTGGAATGCAGTGGCATGATCCCAGCTCACTGCAACCTCCGCCTCCCAGGTTCAAGAAATTCTCCTGACTCAGCCTCCCAAATAGCTGGGATTACAGGTGCCCGCCACTATGCCCGGCTAAGTTTTGTAATTTTAGTACAGATGGGATTTCACCATGTTGGCCAGGCTGGTCTGGAATGCCTGACCTCAAGTGATCCACCCGCCTCGGCCTCCCAAAGTGCTGGGATTACAGGCTTGAGCTACGTCTGGCCAAATATTTTTTTTAAATGAAGATATTTTACAGGCAAAGATTAGGCTGGACACCAAAGCTCTTCATTTATGAATATACCTGTCAAATAAATTCCCTAATCCATTCTCAGTTTCTAATACTAGCCAAGGTAAGATTAAAGAAGGCTAAAATTAAAACCTCATTGTTTCAATCAACAAATCTTTATGGAGCATTTCCTGCATGCTAAACAGTGTGTCTGGTAACAAGAGGCAAATTACACACATGAAGCCCTAGTTTCATGCCCACCATTAGTTTGCAGTCTATAGGACAGACTGGAAATGGCAAGATATGGAAAAATAAAGTTGAAATACAATAAAGTTTCTTTGTTTACTCATCATACTCCTTAGTTAAATGTCACTCAGTCTCACATCTCAGCAGTTAAGGTTGTTTTCTTTTAAATACTTGTATAGTCAAGGATTTCTGCATACTATAATCCAGCCACAGAAATCTCCAAAAAAGTAATAATCAGAGCAAATTCTTCTCCATATCATGAACCTCCAATTATAGTATGCAATTCTAGCTTTCAGAACACACACACACACACACACACACATACATGACTACATATACATATATTCTTATGCAGAAATAATCATTCATTTCTTACACAGTAAAAACCCAAAACCGATCTACAATCCTTGCAGCTCTGAAATTCTCTGATTCTGACTGTTTAGGTATTTCATAACAACTTCTGCTTGAATTTTTTCAAGAATACTCTTGTTTAGCCACTTAATTCCGAGTTAGCATATGGCCTCCGAATAGACTGAAATCTCTCTTTTTAGGCACCACAATTAACATACGTGATATATTTCAGGTATATCTTCCTGGTTTTTGTTTTTTTAACAAGTCTGTCTCCCACCATGCAATAATCTGACAAGTTTAAATATGCCCAGTTTATAAAAATATATTTACATTGATTGTTAAATTTTGTTCACAATTATTTCTTAGAGGCACCAAAAATTAGCCCCATTTCAAAACTGACTTATGGAAACACCTATGGTACTGTTTGCATATAAAGTACAGGATACTCACTTAAATTTGAACTTCAGATAAATTTTTTTTTTAGTGCGTGTCTAGAATTGAATATTTCTGGTTGTTCTGTACTTTTATTTGGTAAATATAGCAAAACTAACCTATAGGGTCCTACAATGACATTTCCAACAACAGAAAAACTGAATTAGTGGTATTTCTTACTATATCAAATAACATCAGCAAGTAAATATATAATGACAAAATTCAGGGTGAAACTCAGTCATATTAAATTAATAGTTTCTCACATGACAGTTCTCTTTCAGAAAACACCTTAGGTTTCTAAAAAGTCTATGGGGGAAAAAAGCTTTTCTAAAGTCCCTGAGCAATGTACCACTCAGTAATAAATGCAAAAGGTACTATGGAGGCTATATTTCTTCCCGCATATAAATATCACGTATTCAGTTTGTACTTTAAGAAACTGTTGAGGTTTACCAGGCACAATGAAAAAAAATATTAAACTAAAAGAACACATTAATGACATCTGCCCTGTTGGTGTTCAAATAGATGAATTACCTCACAGGATTGCTGGTCAAAGACACTCGGAGAGACTCCAGGCATGTGACAAGTCTCTCATCTGCAGACCCCATTTTCAGCTCATGAATGAATTCCTGAGGTGAGATCTGTCGGCTTCTCTTAAGACTCCCCTATAAAATAAGTCAAAAAAATTTTTGATTAATACTGCATGGAGATTACCCATTAAAAAATAACAAGTTAATACCCCTAACAGCATCACATAACTACTATAATTAGCACTATTTGGGCAGGGGTGGTAGATAATTTCCTTACTTCTGCCCAAAAATCTATAAATTCATAATCTGTGATATCCACAAAAGATATTAATATAACATCAGAAGGTGTGCAAATTGAAATAATTGCTTTCTCAAATGTAAAATGTCATGGAGAACAATTGTGTAATATAGAAAATATCTTAAAATACAGTAATATTTTTAGGCACACACAAAATAAAACTCAATATAAGAACTATCCTATTAAAATTAGTATTCAAAGCAGCATAGAAAAGGCTGTTAGGTATTAATTCATCCAACTACCATTATAAGCCTAGTTTTAGGCACTATAGACACATAGATTAACAAAAAGTGAAGTCTGGAAGAAATGCAAGCAAGAAAATAATAATTTTCAGTACAATCTAGTTCCTGTAACACAGCACAAAGAGACTCAAAGAAAGAACATCTAACTTGGCAGAACAGATCAGGGAAGCCTACATAACAGGGGTACATCTTCCTGGTTTTTCTTTTGAAGTAGGCATTAGGCAGGCAAAGAATGAGAAAGGAATTAACTTCCAGACCAAAACATAAAATGCACGTACACATGGAGAGAAAAACAAAAACATATGCAACTGAAGACAGACGCCAGATCATGGAGTGATAAAGCACTACTATGCAACTAGCTCTCCTGGGGAGTTTTGGAAGGATCACTCCAGTGTGAAATATGAATTAGAAGAGTTAGAGTTCACTCATTATTCAACAAACATTAAGTACCTACTAAATACTGGGCACTGTTTTAAGTACTGAGAATAGAGCAGGGATGAAAGAAGAATAAAAGATTGAACTTCCTACCTACATGTAGCTTTACTACATATGGGGAGAAATAATAACTAAAATGCATTGCACTGTAAATAATACACACTGTGGAGAAGAAGAAAAGCAGGAAAGAGAATAAGTAGCATCATATGAGACACGCAATTTTAAACAGGATGGTCAAAGAAAGCCTCAGAGAGAAGACTTCAAAGGACTCAAACTTGAGTGTTCAAATAAAAAGTCTAAAGGAGATAAAACAGCTAACCATGCAGATATAGGAAAAAAACGCTATGATGGAGGGGACTGTAGGTTTTACAGTCCACTCAAAGAACTTGGACTTTTACTCTGAGATCAGAAGCAGAGAGATCTGTTGAGAAGGTATCTATACAGCCTAGATAGGAAATGATGAGGATGGCGAACTAACAATAAAGTTCTGAATTATATTATTTAAATTACAGATTCACCATCCAATGGCAGGAAATGAATTGTGTAAGTTCAAAAGAAGATCAGGTGAAGTGGCAGGAAATTAGGTGTTTTTCATGTTTTTTGTTTTTATTAATTTAATATAATGTTATTCAAGAAAACATTCCCAATAAAGCAAAACAAATTAGCACTGTAGAGAAGGGTTATTTTTATTCATGTCAATATCAAAGTAGTAATTTAATAAAGAAGAATTCAATGGTACAATCTCAGAAAATAAAAGGGGAAATGGTGAGAGCTATGAAAATGAACATCCAATTATTTTTATCACAGTCACCGATATCATTCAAAGAACATATTCAACTTGCACCAACACAGCACTTATCGATGTCTCTTTTTGCTCTGAATTACCAAAAGATTGATTGTTCAACAGAGAAAATTTGGAAAACACAGAAAAGCAACAAGAACAAAGGTGCCTCAAAATAAGTACTACTAATATATTTCTACATAAAGCATTTTTCTCATAGAGAGAGTATTAATATATTTGCATATATTTATATTTTAAAACATATATGATATGGTTTGGCTGTGTCCCCACCCAAATCTCATCTTGAATAGTAGTTCCCATAATCCCTACAGGAGGTAACTGAATCATAGGAGTGTTTACCTCCATGCTGTTCTCGTGATACTCAGTGAGTTCTCACGAGATCTGATGGTTTTATAAGAAGCTTTTCCCCCACCTTCGCTGTCACTTCTTGCCTGCTGCCATATAAGATGTGACTTTGCTCCTCCTTTGCCTTCTGCCATGATTGTGAGGCCTCCCTAGCCATGTGAAACTGTGAGTACATTAAACCTTTTTATTTATAAATTACCTAGTCTCAGCCAGGCACAGTGACTCATGCCTATAATCCCAGCACTTTAGGAGATCGAGGTGGGCGGATCACCTGAGGTCGGGAGTTCGAGACCAGCCTGACCAACATGGAGAAACCCCATCTCTGTTAAAAATACAAAACTAGCCAGGCATCGTGACACATGCCTGTAATCCCAGCTACTCAGGAGGCTGAGGCAGGAGAATCGCTTGAACCTGGGAGGCAGAGGTTGCGGTGAGCTGAGATCGTGCCATTGCACTCCAGCCTGGGCAACAAGAGTGAAACTCCATCTCAAAAAATAAAAATAAGAGTAAAAATAAATAAATAAATTACCCAGTCTCAGGTACATCTTATTAGCAGTGTGAGAACAAACAAATACAATATACTTTACTTATTTAAAACATCATTTGATACTTATTGTTCTATAGGCTACTGTTATCTTTAGGCAACACTTCATGAACATATTCCAATGCCAATACATAAGCCATAAAAAATATGACCTCTTCCTGCCTACAGACTATTGCATTACTTACTTAATTAGTCCCTGGCTCTTGGGCAAGTAGGTTGTTTACAATTTCTTGATACCATAAATTTTTCAAGTTTCCTGTGCATGCTGTCAGGCCAATATTTTTATCCAAAAATATAGCAGTAGAGGTTAACTAGATGATCTCTTGTAGCCCATTCCAAATTTATTTCCGAAAAACTTGCAATTCGGGTAGGATCAAAATAAACTACAACTGAATAAATAGATTTTTTTCTTCAACAATAAGTAAGCTCCATGTAGCAAATACTTTTTAAGTATGAGAATAACCAATAAGTGCACGTGGATAAGAATAAAAGTGGTATTAAAGGATAAAAAACAAAAACCACCTATCCTACATCTTAGCCCTGTCTCACAAAGACAGTAATTCCTAATTCCCTTAACAGTTTCTTCTGATAGTTACTTAATATGTCTAAATAATGTGCCTGATGTTTTTAGATTTCTAAATATTCATTATTACCTTTGATTTGTATTATGAAAAATAAGGATTTTAATTATCTTAAAACATTGGAACCTCTTCTCTTCCATCTCCTGAATAGCAATAAACTCAATTGAATCAAAAGATGCCATTCCATAAAATGAGAGCTAACTGAATCCACATTTTATGAAGTCCTTACAGCTACATCCCTACAGAGATGAGTTCAGGCATCCAAAAATCTTTTTGCTTTAGTTCATTTTATCATCACTCAACAGGATATTATATGTCCCAATCATAAAATCACCCAATTACTGTAAGGATATGAACAGACACTTTTCAACGGAAGACATTCATGTGACTAAAAAACATTAAAAAAGCTCATTATCACCGGTCATTGGAGAAATGCAAATCAAAACCAAAATGAGATATCATCTCACGCCAGTTAGAATGGCGATCATTAAAAAGTCAGGAAACAACAGATGCTGGAGAGGATGTGGAGAAATAGGAACACTTTTACACTGTTGGTGGGAGTGTAAGTGGCGATTCCTCAAGGATCTAGAACTAGAAATATCATTTGACCCAGCGATCCCATTACTGGGTATATACCCAAAGGATTATAAGTCATTCTAATATAAAGACACATGCACACATATGTTTATTGCAGCACTGTTCACAATAGCAAAGACTTGGAGCCAACCCAAATGCCCATCAATGATAGACTGGATAAAGAAAATGTGGCACATATACACCATGGAATACTATGCAGCCATAAAAAAGAATGAGAAAGCCAAACACCTCATGTTCTCACTCATAAGTTGGAGTTGAACAATGAGAACACATGGACACAGGGAGGGGAACCTCACATACCGGGGCTTTTCTGGGGTTGGGGGCTAGGAGAGGGATAGCATTAGGACAAATACCTAATGTAAATGATGGGTTGATGGGTGCAGGAAATCACCATGCCATGTGTATACCTATGTAACAAACCTGCATGTTCTACACATGTATCCCAGAAATTTACATATTTTTTAAAAAAAAAAGAAAAAAGGAAATACCTATAGATAAAACTACAATACATTTGTGGAGAGAAACTGAGGACAACCTATAAAAAAAAACATGTCATACCATATTCATAGATCAGAAGACATAATTTTATTAAGAAATCCATTAAGTACATTTTCTAAAAAAAAAAAAACCCATAGATTCAATCAATGATTACTGTCAAAATCCCATCAAGTGTTTTGTAGAAATTGAGAAGTACATCCTAAAATTTATATGAAAATAAAGGAGAACTAAAATAGGAAAAACAATTGTGATAAAGAACAAAGTTGGGGGGCTTACATTATCTGATTTCAAGATTAACTATAAATCTATAGTAATCAAATTAGAGTGGTACATGCATCAATGGAATAGAGAGTCCAGAAATATAACATATCGTCAACGATTTTCACAAAAGTTTCCAATGTAATTCAATGGCAGGAAGAAGAATCTCTTCAACAAATGGTACTAGAACAATTGGACTTTCATATGAAAGAAAGTGAACCTGGATCCTAGACCTAAAAGTAAAAGCTAAAACTATAAAACATCTAGAAGAAAACAGGTAAAAATCCTCCCTGCCTTGAAGAAGGAAAAGATTTCTTAAATAGGACACAAAGAGTACTAGCTATAAAACCAAAATATTGTACCTCATTAAATTCAAAAGTATCTTATTAAATTAGTTTCAGTAAGGAAATGAAAGGTAAGCACAAACCAGGAGAAAATATTTGCAATACAGTTAAGAACTGTATAGAGTCTGAGATTTCAACTTACATACAAGCTAAGTTAGCCTGTTACTATTTCACAGATGCTAGCAGAAAACACAAGACTCCTGGATTAGAGACAAAGGACTTTATTATGCATGTATTGGGTCCCTAACCCACCAAATCACACGGGGACAATGCAGGGCCCATGGTGAATGCCTGCACATGCAGTGGATTGCATCATAAGAGAAGAACACTGAACTTGGGGTACTCACCATTTTTATAATGAGCAGTAATAGGCATGCTCATTGTGCAGAGGGAGGCAAAACCTCGCCTCTCCAGGCTACTCACTGCAAATGCAACTCTGAAAATGGGATGAGTAAAGAGCAATCAAACTTTGCATTCTTGGAATAGCCAGCAAGATGTAGTGAAACTCAGGACCCATGCAACACTGCCTCTCCCAATGATACATTTCATAAAGGACTAGTATTCAGAATAAAGAACTCCTATAACTCAATAGTTATAAGACAAAGAAATTAACAAACAGATTAAAAATTTCATAACAGAAGATATGTGAATGGCCAGTAATCACATGAGGACATGTTCAAGATCACCTGTGAGCAGGGACGTTCAAATTGGAACCACAAATGAGGGAGTGCTACATAGTCCCTATAGTAGTCTCCTAGAGTAGTGAGAATTTGATACTCCTGGAACTCTTCTGCACTACTGGTGGACATATAAAATGAAACACCCTGGAAAATGTTTGTTTCTTTTAAGTTAAATATACATTGCCCATATTACTCAGCAATTGCACAGTTAGGTGTTAAGTAGGAGGAAAAAAATGAAAAAATCTACAATGTATGGAATACCTTTATTCTTAACAGTCAAAATCTGAGAACAACCCAAGGATTCATCAACAAATTATAGTACAACCACACAATGAAATACTATGCAGCAATAAAAAGAATTCACTATTGATAAATGCAACAAGACAAAGGAATCAAAAAAGTATGCTAGGTTGAAGTAGCCCAAACAAAATGTACACAGTAGATGGTTCTATTTATATGGAAAACCAAAACTAACCTGTCAATCTTTTCTCTGGGGCCATTACAATTCAGGCACAGAAGCAGAGCTATTAAATTTGGTGTGTTTGGCTGAAGGATGGGATAAAAAGGAGGCAACATTTTAAACAGGGCAGCAAGTAGATTTAAACAATAAACTAGGAAAGACAGACTAAATCCACTAGCTAACGATAATTACTTCAGCAATATTGAACTGTCCAACTTGAACAGTTTGTTGCCTCAAGGATTCTGCATTCCCACCTGAGAATCCTGCCTCTAACACACTCCCTTACCCTTACCCAAACCCTCACCACCACTACTACAAGCCTTACCCAGGCCTACTCCTAAACATTGGTTAGACCTGGGCTGAGAGTGACTTCCCACAGAAGGCCTCTCGTGAGCACACAACAAGTCCCTTCCCCCAATCTATGGATTCATTTTTCATAACTCTTATTCTGTATTAAAAAAACTTTCATTATTACTTATTATTTAAAGGATATATTGAACACCTATTGTGTGCCAAGTACTGTTTACATGATGTAGACACAGAAGTGAAATAAAAGTCAAAGA